CCAGGAGGTCATTTTCTCATCCTTGGCCACAAAGTGTCTCTCAGCTTTCAGTTCAACAGAATCCTTCTGTCTGATGTCCTTAGAATGGAAACTCATTAAACATTTTGTAGCCAAAATACATTAAACATGCTTGAATCACATGTTGTGAGTTTGTTCCCCAGACAGGACTGGCACAGGAGTTATTTAACAAATGGACAGCTTTATAATCTGGTTTTGAGTCTTTAATAAAGGAGTGATAAGAATCTAATTTTTAATGAAGTGATCCACCTTAACCCTTAGTCTTTTTATGCTTTTAAAATCACAGACTAACCCAAATCTGCTTACGAAGGTATCCATTTTACCTCCTGATTATGAATACAAGCTGTCCCAATACAGGAAGTTTTGCAATCGTTTTCACAAGGACAATTTGTACTTTGATTTGTCCTCAAATCTCATGTTTTTTTCCTTCTCAATTTTTTAAAATTTTTTTCTATTAAAATTTCAGTATTAGAAGCCAGAGATGTAGGATCAAGATTTTAGTTTATTTATGGGATTTGCTACTCCAAGGAAAAATCATTTGCTTAATGAAGTGTTTCCTCAAGGATATGGGTATATTCTAATACTAACCACTTAGGACAATGGAATCCATGTCGACTGCAAGGCCCTGAAGACTTCCCACTGAGGTCCTGTTAATTATACTTGTCTGAATGGAATCCTTTAAAATGGCAGCCACACAATCCTCACACAGCACTTGCCCCTTCGCCTGTGGTACCACAAATACGATCCAGAAATGAATAAGAAGGCCTCCATTGTTGTTGTTACTGAAATAAAGAGATTATCATCCTGTTGGAAGTTCTCTGAAGACTAGACTTTTAGCCCAAGCTTCTGAAATATAAATTCAGAGGTGCATTGCTCATTTCCATATTTTATAACTACTTTAACTCACTGAATGTATATTTTCCCCACAAACAAACAAACATGAGAAACACCAAAACAAACTCTTCACATCCAGTAGGGAATATTCAGTAGGCTGATTTCCTGAGGGCTTTTGAGATCTATAGAAATCACACTGTCTATATATGAATCAGAGCTGGACTATTTCCTGAAGATCAAAACAGAAACAGTAGAACAGAAACAGCAGAATTATCATCTCCAGAAATGAAGAGCTCTGCATTGGTATGTATCTCACCCTGCACTGTGTGCTGCAGCATGTAGGAAATGATTCCTAGACTATTTAGGTAACCAGGCCATGTATGAGCACACTAATCTCTATCTCCTTAGTGAGGAGAAAGACCTTTAAATCAAACACAGCCTAAACCCCTCCAGTTTCTGAAACAAAACTGTATTTGATTTGAGAGGACTAAAATAACTAAACTTCTAGCATTAGTTGCAAACATTAATATTAGAGTAAGAACGCTTCATTGCATAGAGATTTCCTACTTCTTAAGTAGAAAATAGTGTTTTTCCAATAACGTTACTTACAAAATATATGCAATTTAGTCAATAATACAGAGTTGTGCTCCAGCAGCATGTTTAACTTCTGCATGAACCAAAGAATCACCAAACCTCTTTATTGATATTATTTCTGTTCATCTTGCATTGTATTTCTGGTTGTTTTGTGGGCTTATTACATTATATACTGCCCAGCAGAAAAGCAATTACATCAACCACAGTTTTACCTGACTTCTGAGACGGTCGACTGCTTATAAAATTTGGAGAAAGAAGAAGTTGTGTAGACCAAGTTCATCTGAAAGACAAAGATTTAGAATTCTGAAAATCAGAATCACACCTAGAGATGCTATATGCCTAGGCTTTCCTAGGAACAACCTGTTTTCCACCCAGATTATGCAACATGCACACACTTCCAGACATACATCAGCCAAGCTAGGCAGAACAGGAGATGAACAGACCAGCTCTTCAATGCACCCATAAGAAATCTGATATTCCCAGGAAACACCGAATCTTCTGCCCATGGCTGGCTGATATATACAATAATGCTCTTTCCATATAAATGAATTTTGAAAAAGGTGCACATCCTTCACCCAGAAAATCTCAAGCACAGAGGGCTATCCTGATGCTAAAACTTAAGGCTTCAAGAAATGCGCAGGCACTCACAATCCTTTTTTTGTATTGTTACTAATGTGGAGTGAACAGCATGCACCAGAGCTTTTCCCACAGAATCACAGAAAGACTGAGATAGGAAAGAGCCTCTGGAGAGAATCTAGTCCAATCCCACTGCTCAAAGCAGGGTCGACTATCCCACATTGCTCAGGGCCATTTCCAGTTGATTATCTTCAAGAACAAAAACTCCACATCTTCACCAGATGAGAAACCTGTGCTTGATTCCCCTCACAGCTAAGGAATTACTTTTTTAACGTCTCCATGGAATTTCTTGCACTTTGATTCATTTGTGTCTATTTTCTTCATCAGCAGCTTAGTATTAACATATTTCTTTCCAATACACACAGTGTAAAATGTGGAGAAGTAAAATCACTGCCTGTTCCCTGACAAAGAACTGCCTTTGGGCAAAGCAAACTCCTGATTCTCCCTGTTGTTGGGCTGTGACAGTACTAGTGTGATAATAACCTTCCTCTCCCCGTCCTGCTCAAAGCCACAAGGTGGCATGTACCTCAAACTGTTCAGACCTCACTGCTGCTTTGTGATTAAAACTAATGTGCAAAGGACTATGACACAGAATGTTTCAAAGGCTGTAAAAACCACTACTAATAGTGGTTTCCATACTAATCTCTGACTTTCATAGTTTGAAACAGAAAGTTTAAACAATAATTTTAAGGGCCTAAATAAGGTGGGTAGAGCTCAGTCTTTCTCCAGATTAAGGTACAAGGGATTTTATGTATTACTTTTACTATCCAATGGAAAGAATCTATCTTGAGAGGTTTTTCTACTGCCACTTGAGGTCTCTGGGCCAGCAGGCATTAACAAAAAGGTTTTGAGGAGAACAAGAAACACAATCCCAAATCCCCCACTTCTTTACTAACAATTTTAGTCAAGGTTTCCAGTTTCAGAAATGCAAAATCCTTTGATGAGTTCAGGCAAAGTTTACAGATAAAAAATAAATTCCAAGTAATGTTCAAGTAGGAGGTGGTGACACTGGCAGCTCAACACCTCCTGTCTGTTGCATCTTCACTATGTATGACAAGGGCAGGATGCTCTGAGACAAGAACAAGACACAGGGAATACAGGACATTAGAGATGCTCCATGGAGAGCAGGGAAAGGTGATGCCCTGCACTGGTAATCTGGAAGAGCTTTAATGATTAATATGCAAGACTTGGAAAGAGCTGAAAAACAGGAACGTTAGCTCACAATATAAGATATCAAAAAACTTAGTAATTATTGAAAATTTCCTTGGTTGTATCTAACATTATTTTTTTTTTGGTTTCTTTAGAAATTTTCATACAGGTGCTTGAATCCTTATGTGGACAGTACTGCAGTTCATGGCAATAATGTATTTTTGCTCCCTACACTAAATGTCTTTAAAGTCAAATTCCCTTTTAACCAAGACTTCCACCCCTTTCTTCCCACTATGGAGCAACTATTGATCCAGAATTCTATTTCTGCTTTGACTGATGCAAGGTATTTGGGAAGAATAATAGTCTTTAGCTCATTCTGATACCTAGTATCAGAAGGAAAAGTAAATGTAAATATGTTTGTGATCCCTAGGATAATTATAGATACTTTAAGGCAGAAGATACCAGTGTAAATGCAAAAGATTTCATCTGTTTAATATTTCAAAAGTGGTAGTTTGGTTTAAGGACTTTTGTAGAATTTTAGTCATAGATCATAATTTATGGGTGAAAATATGTAAAATTTTAAGTCAAATGTAAAAACCAGACCCGTTCAAAACTCAGTTTGTGATTAACAAGCTGAAAGCAGCCAGTTCCTTCATACCTCTGGACAGCCACTGTTGGCACATAATCCTCTGAGGGGGAAGGGGTAGAACAGCACAGCTGCCTCAATGGCATCTGAACATCACTTGCTCACAGCTCTGGTTTTTTTTGCTAACCAAGCAGCCCACCCATCTTACCACATGCTGCACAGTCTGTGCCATAGAGAGGAATTCCTTTGACTCTTTCTGCCTATATTCTGGAAGAAACTCTATGTTGGCAACACGAAACAGTCCAACAAAATACAGTGCATCTTTGTTTTCTGCCTGAACTGCAAGAAACAAAGAAGTCAGTTAGCCTTTTTTTAATAACAATGAAGGTTTTTTATTAAATTCAAAACCAAATTAATCTATTTGGCCTATTCTACTTTCTAGTTTGAAACAATTACCCAAAGAACACTACACGTTTATAGCCAAACTGTTCTAGATGTGTACCAAATTGTGGTTAATTGAGCTCCTGTTACCTACACACAAGATAACACACCACCATCCAAATGAGCCAGCATAACTGAAGGCAGTTATGCTGCCTTCAGCATCCAGATTCTGGAGCATCCCTAGGGTATTTTAGCCAGTATTAGCATCAGGGGCCTAAAGAGGAAAACATAGCTTTTAATGCTTAATTACACACATATTTATTTTACTCCCTTTTTACTTCTTTATATATATTCTGAAAAATAAAGTACTTACCTGAACTTCACAAGGCCAAGAAACACAATGGAAGGCAAAATTTCTGAGGAATCAAGCTCATAAAAACCTGTCAGGTCTGTGCAAATCAGCTTGCACATTAAAATGTTTTGCATAGCACTGAAATAAAGTCATGATTCCTAAAAAGAGCTTTTCTAATTACTTGTTAATTCTTAGCAAAGACAAAAGATTTTCACACACCATTTTAAAATTTCCACATTTACACTCTTCAAGACAACTGAGATCCTAAAGTTATCTGAAAGTACTATTGGCAATAATGATATAGGGAGTTGTCCTGAACTTTCAGCAACTCACCAATGAAGAGCCACAGTAATGTCCAGGTTACAACTCCTAAAATGAATAGAATGAGGGTAAAGAGAATTATTTTGTTTTGAAAATTCCATAGCAACTTATCTTTTTTCTTCAATTTGTCATGCTTTTTCCTTGCCAGAATCCTCTTTGCCAACTTGTCTTCTGCAGATACCATTTGGACTGAAATGTTGGCTGCCTAAAATAAGGTGAAAGAGAACAAAAATTGTGGAATGTTTCTAGCAGGAACTGACTGATCAACAAGTCTCAACCAATTAGTTCCTCAGAGAAAAACTTGCTTCAGGCTGTGGAGAAGTGGCTATGGACAGATTCTTTCTGCATATCTAGCTCCCTCTGAGAAGTTACCTCCAGCAAACAGCAGAGCACAGCACAGGTCTTACTGATATGGGATGTGCATAAAATCATTACCTGGATATCCAAACTCTTGACAGTTTATTATGAACTACAGTCCCAACTCTTCTAAGCTGGATCCAAAATATGTCCTGACCATCTCATCCAGGTACTAAAGACTACATGACCATTTCTATATTTGCAGGAGTGTTTCCACTTCCTATAAGGTATCTTGCTTGTCTGTTTTGGAAAGCCCGTTTGTACCAGACACCACTGCCACCCCTCAGGCATTTTCCTCTGCAGAAGATAATCAACACATTTAAGCAGACAAAAAATGTTTATCAGTTTCTGCAGGCACAGCAAGAGCTGCCTGAAGAAGTCTCTGGCACTTCATAAAATTCTCTCTTAGGCTATCTCCTGTCACAGTCAAATGGTTTATTGTGAGATCAGCTAGAGGTTCAACCACCTTTCTTAAGTCAATTCATTGTCTTATCTCTGCAGAGTTTAGCTGGCAAATTCCTGGACCACTCAGAGTACTACTGACCAAGTGCACTGGAGATGAATACAGCTGTAGCTGTTACACCCAGCTACACCAACGTAGCAATGGGGAACAAAGAGACACAGACCCCCTTATGCATCTGAAGGAGATCACTTTATTGTAGAAATCACCCCCCTTTATACCTTTAATCTCAACCAGACAAACCCAGACTTGACAGAAGAAGGGCACCCACTGGCTGGCTCAGCTGCAGCGCTGCTGTCCACGAGCCATGACTGCCTCCCAACCCCAAACCCACTTCCAACCATGCAGCCTGCAGCTGGGCCTTCCCACAGGGCCTTCTGGTGAGCATAAGCCTTAACAGCTTCAACAATTATAACCCCATAGCCCACACACCAGAATTAAATTACAAGAAGAAACCAAAAAACAAAAATCCCACAACAAAACCCCAACAAACCAAAATCTACCATGCATTTCCTCCTTACATAAAAATGATAGCATAAGTTAGATAATATTACTACATAAAAAAGGAGCATTCAGGAAAAATGCTCTAAAAACATTTTGATACCAATGAGAGGGAAGCTCTCAAGGCGTGGCCTTAGGAAGCTGTGGGTTGTCCATGACTGGAGGTATTCACAAAAACCAGTCATCAACCAGCAGCAAGGGTTTTAGTGCACAGTCTTCTATGAAGCACAAAACAGTCTTAGATAAAATGACATAGCTCAGAAGCTCATACATATAAGGATTAAACTGAACTTCATAATTTTAAAGATGAAAACCAAAACAAATAGGTATTTTTCCTTGTTTTCGATTGATTCATTTTAAGGGCATCTTCAAAGCCGGTCTCCCCCACCTCTAGCTGAATTTATGCCACTCAGGGGCCTCTCTAAGTGGTACATAATTTCTAAGCAGTGCAAATCAAAAAGCTCTGACAACATCCAGTGATAACTGGTTTTTGATTTGCTCAAGATGCTGACAGCCTCCCTTTGAGGGACAAGTGGCTGTCCTATCACCAATCCCCTTCTGTGCCTACACTAAAAAACCTGGGGAATTCATAATCATCCTAGAAGAGACACACTAAACAGCAGAGCCCCCACCTTGGGCAGATCTAGCTGTTCCCTGTGCTCAACAGGTCCTTTTTAGCCTCTGTAGAGCTACAGCAGGTAGACAATGAGGAGAAAGGGTGCTCACCTATTCACAAGCATTGCATTGTTTGAAGCCTCCCAGAAGGTACCCTGCAGAATGTGTGACCTCTTGTAGACTAAAATGCGTGGACACAACAGTCATTTTTCATCCCTACTAACTATATTATAGTTGATGAGAAACAAGACCACCTAAGTCAGGAAGTAACCAGCTGAGAATTTCACTCTCGAATTTTCAGTGTGGGATGCCAATTTTAATGCAGTAGCTACAAAAGCTCTGTGCTGATGCAGATTGACACACAGGAAATGACAAATACAACTGCCAACCATTTACACAACTGATGTTGTGAGATAACCTACAATAAGTGTTTTCTTTCCTTTTGCTCAACAGTAGGAGACCCCCATCTGTGTTTTGGGCCTATCAGGAAAAGAGAGATGTTGATAATCCAGAGTGATTCCAGGGGACGATCACAGAGGTAAGGAGCTGGAGGACATGATGTACAGCAAAAAGATGAGAGCCTTAGGGTTTTTCAGCATGAGAGATGAGGGCAAAGACAGTGTCAGTAAATCTAATTATATGTTTAATATCTAAAGTGGGCTATGGAGAAGACAGAGCCACACTTTTCTCACTGGTGCACAGTGAAGAGAGAGCCACAGCAGTCACGTACAGCAGCAGGAGACATTCCAGCTACACTGGGGGAGGGGGAAGAATGTATTTCACCACAAGGGACATGCACCTGAGCCATGCCCAGAGAGGTCAGGGAACCCCCACACCTGGAGTTATTCAAACCTCAGAGGATCAATGTTCCAAGAAATCTGCTCTTGCTTTGATGTTAGCTCTGTTCTTAAAAAAATAAAAAAAATTAAAACCTGCAGAGGTCTTCACCAACACATTTCTTGGTACATTTCTCTGATATTATGCACTAGTAATACTTTCAAAAAGAGACCTCTGTGTATCCTCAGAGGAAGCATAAGAAACATCCCCACAAATATCCTGCTGATCCTGTAGTCAAATAAAACAGATAGCAATTTTTGATCTCTCAGTGGAGGATGCTCTAAGAGGAGAAGAAAACTTTGTAATAAATAATAGCAAGTAGAGTTAAAAGACTAAGTATGACCCTCTACAAACAAAATCTTTAAACACAGAATTGGAAACACATTTCAGATTCATATCTTCTATCTAGGTAATTCAACTGTACGTGTTTTGTGTGCTCTCCACTTGATGTATCCATCTTCTGTATTTTTCACAAACCTTATTGAGTCTCTTTAAGAATGAAAATGAATGTTTGTTTGTTTAAAGCTCTAGACTGTCACAATGTTCCTTTATACACTCAGGTGTTCAGTAGGCCAGCTTGAGGCAGCTCAATGAATGCTGAGTTCTGACATCTGAAATTATGGTCACTTTCATCAAGACTCCCACAATAATATTTTATATTAAATTTTTCTCATGTAACTCCTTTTTGTGGCTCTAGATCTCAACAGGCAGATTTATAATTAAATAATAAATAATACTGTCAAATATTGTTAAAAATTACTCAACATTGACATCACTGGATATATAAGTGCGCACTGGAAACAACTGAAGTCTTCATTGCATCTACTGTAATCCTCATCTAATTTTTTTTTAAAAAAAATTCATGTATGAAGCTTTCCATGACAAAGTGGTCTGTTAGATAGGACTCCTAGGAATATTGAATGCTATGTGCTACATTATCAATATTGCCATTTTTTTATTAATTTACCATAAACATTTTATAGAAAGGAAAGTGACAGCAAAGTTAAGCTGCTCTCATCCCAATAAGGACCATAATTCTCAGTTCAGCTTTCCTCTCTACTGCAACTTAGTTCTTGTATTCTAGAACTGGTTTCCAGCTAACATTGCAATTTGACTATCACCATACACTGAATTATTTAATTACATCTCTCTCATGAGTTAGCACTCACACAACAGTCCCCTTCTTTATCTTCTCTGGGGAAAGCAAAACACTTTGCCTCCTTTAATGTTGCCTTTATTGCCTAGAAGTTAACTTCTTTTTGGAAAAACATGCTGCATGACACCAAGCTTTTATGTTGTCACACTGACATGTCCATTATTTCAATTGTCTGAAAATACATAATATTAGCAATCCAGAGATAAACACATGTTGACATTTTCAGACTGAGCTATAAACCAGAAAATTACACCAAATCTAACCATCATGTTAAATTTAACACTTCAGAATTAGATCACAAGACATCTAATAATGTCAAGAAGTATAGAAAATCAAGAATGTTTAAGTCACCTACTTACACTTACTTCATCTTCAGGTTTAGCTGTTGGGGGATCATTTTTTTCATCCATTTCAGTAGAATTAGTTTTACGACTTGAACAGGCTGAAAAAGAGCCTTGCACCTTTTCTCAGGCACCCCTTCTGCTTGTGAAGCTGAGGACAGCTAATTGCAATGTCCAGGACCAAAAGAGGCATCAATTTACTTCACTGAGTTTCCAACTGTAATCTCATCTGTCCTACTGCACCTCTGCAAATGTTAGAAGGCTGCTATCATGTAACTTTAGACTTCAAATTCAGACTGGATAAAATAGGCTTTTCATGGTCTTTATAAAGCTGAAATATTAAAATACAAAATTGCAGTGCTAAAATCCATACATCACTGATCCTTATGCCTCCCTTCCAATTCAACATATCCTGTGATTCTGTGAAAATGTTGCAACATTAGTTACTTGAAGAAGAAAAGTGGCAAGTAAAATGTAAAAGTGAGAGCAAAAACATGCTAAAATAAGAAAAAGTAAGCACCCTAAGTAAAAGTGCTGAAAATTGCAGATAACAACAGCAAATCAAGATGAGAATTTGAACTCTCTTCTAAAATTTTGTAATGTACCTATTGAACACTCCAATTTTATTATTTTATTGTAACTGAAAAATAAACTGTTCCAGGCAACTTATTTCATATTGTTAAAATAGATCAGGCTTCAAACTGAGAATCCTTTTTGTAATCAGATGCAGGAAGTCACTTGCATTATAACAGTTCCATCCTATTGTCTTTGTTAATTAAATATTTATAGAGGATGTAAACCAGTACTTTCCTCAATGGATGCTAAGTATAGAGCTGTCTTTCCTTTTAAGTGATTAACAATCTCAATGCCTTCCTTGGGTCAACAGCAGAAATGGTACTGGAGATATACAAATATTATTATTTTAAAAATAACCCTTC